GACGAACTGAAGGGAGTCTTCATAGACGAACTGAAGGGAGTCTTCATAGACGAACTGAAGGGAGTCTTCATAGACGAACTGAAGGGAGTCTTCATAGACGAACTGAAGGGAGTCTTCATAGACGAACCTGAAGGGAGTCTTCATAAGAGTCTTGACGAACTGAAGGGAGTCTTCATAGACGAACTGAAGGGAGTCTTCATAGACCAACTGAAGGGAGTCTTCATAGAAGGGACGAACTGAAGGGAGTCTTCAGACGAACTGAAGGGAGTCTTCATAGACGAACTGAAGGGAGTCTTCATAGACGAACTGAAGGGAGTCTTCATAGACGAACTGAAGGGAGTCTTCATAGTCGAGTCTTTATAGACGAGCGGAAGGGAGTCTCTATAGGTTGGAGTTGAAGGAAGCCTCCATATACGAACTGAAATGAGTCTTTATAGACGAGCAGAATAGAGTCTTTTTAGACGAGCAAAAGTGAGTCACTGTAGACAAGCGGAAGGGAGTCTCTATAGACGAGCGGAATGGAGACTGTATATATGGAGGACTTTATAGACGAACGGATGGTAGTCTAGAAGAATGACAGTTATTTTCGACGAGGGAGTCTTCATAGACGAACAAAAGGGAGTTTTCATAGACGAACTGAAGGGAGTCTCTATAGGTTGGAGTTGAAGGAAGCCTCCATAGACGAGCAGAATAGAGTCTTTTTAGACGAGCAGACGTGAGTCACTGTAGACAAGCGGAAGGGAGTCTCTATAGACGAGCGGAATGGAGACTGTATAGATGGAGGAGATAGATGGTAGACTTTATAGACGAGCGGTCTAGAAGAATTGGCAGTTATTTTCGACGAGGTAAAGGACAGGGTTCTCTGTAGCTGAAAAATAGAGTCTATATACAGGACCTGCTGCAGGATATTTTAAAGTGTAACTGTCTCCTGTATATCATCACAGCAATTAGTTTTGAAAGAAACAACAACAATACCCAACTGCAATACAGATTTCCATTAACGATTAGAATAACATTTAACAACATTGGTTAATTAAATAGCCCCACTATCACGGACATAGCAGCAAGGTCAAATTCTTAACATTACACTGGGGACGATTAAAGTTTTAATGGCCACCACCTACAATAAAAATACATAAAATGATATATAATCTACACGTGCAATTATAAAAATTAAAAGAAAAAATAATTGTCAAACAACTACAAAAACACCGCGCCACAAATGCATTTTATTTGCATTTATGACCAACATACGATACAAATATAAATGCATGGTCGTGTGTGTGTGCAATGAACTTTATAAAATACTTTTAACCAATGTAATATAAAAATGCATGAATGTGCAACTTTGTTTTTTTGAACTTTCTGTTTAATTTCCAATTTCATTTTGCCCATTTCTCCTCTTCTTTTAGGCGCAATGGAACGAACCATGGTCACGTAAATATACACGAAAACCAAATGGCCTACCAGTCACGCAAGTCCAACGTTTGGGTCGTCAAATCTTGGAGGCACTGCTGTTTCTAAAAGAGCGTGGCTTCCCGCTACACGGTCATTTGCACAGTGGAAATGTGATTTTACAAAATGGTGCTGCCAGGTAAGGTTATTTTCAATCGAAGTGTGGGTGCATTTAATTTTATTTTTATAATGTTGTTTAATGTTATTTATAAAGGTCAGTTAACTTCACTTAACGGAAGTTAAAAGTAAATGTCGTTTGTGTAATTACTGACGACAGGGGTGCTGTATTACATGTATATTAATTTCTGGTGGGATACCGCAAGAGTCCTATAAAGTTAGGCGATTTTTCGAGTCGTAGCAATTTTGAACCAAGGCTTGGTTTCAATGGACTTCTATGTTCTTCCACAAAAATAACCTAACAATCGTAAAAATTCAGACTGATAATTTATGGGTGAATTACTAGAGTTGTTTAGAAAAGGGTCCAGATCTTTAAATATCTTCGAACTGTTCTATCCTCTACAATTCGTTGCCAGTTTTGGCAGAGACATTCAATTTAGCGTGAGATTTGTCGATAGGCGACATAATTCGGTTGTATACTTGTATAAGATCCAATTAAAGACTCAAATGATATTACAATTTCGCCGTATATTAAATCAGTTTTGCCGCTTTCTCTGCTGAAGCATTCAATGTAAAGCATCTTATGATGACTATGGGGCCTCCTCTGAAAAATAACCCAATATTGATTTTATTTAATTTTTTTGTAACCCAATTTTGCTGAAAAGCTTGCTCATCTTTCCAAGATACCGAAATTTGGTATAACTGTTTTTCTGTCCTACAATTCTCCTGGTAATCTTAAGTATTTAATCTACAAGGTAATTCATATTTTAATATGTGAAAAAAGACGACCTGATTCATAGACGAACTGAAGAGTCAGGTAGTTTTTTTTATAAAAGTGTCAGCATCAAGTGGCGGCAAGAGTGATTCTCAAACTTTAAACGCAGTGTTTTTACGAATGGCGGGCACGATAACTCAAAAACTAAAACTAATCGGTTCCAAATTTATACACGTTTCTATGGGAGCTATCGTATGAACTTGGATAAAGCCAATCTTCCTTATTATACCCTTCACCACACTAAGGTACAGGGAATTATGTCTTTGTGCATATGTTTGTAACAGGCAACGAGATAGACCCATTGTTCCTTTTGAGAATATGCATGGAATCACTTTCTGAGTCGATTTATGCATGTCCGTCCATCCGTCTGTCTTGCTGTCGATGTTAAATTGTAAAAAAAGTACAGGTCGCATTTGATTGAAATTGGATGAAATTTGGCATAGGCCACTTATTCGGTCCAAGGACGAACCCTATTGAAATTGGGAAAAATCGGTTCAGATTTAGATATAGTTCCCATATATATTTTCGTCCGATGTAAGGTAAATGGTGTACTAAAGTCCCTATATATCTTTCGATTTGCACGAAATTTGGCATAGCGTAATGAATTAGATCTAAAATGATATATGTTAAATTTCCTGAAAATCGGTTCAGATTTAAATATAGCTCCCATATATATTTTCATCCGATTAAATGTAAAAAAAGAACCTAGAAGTTAGATATAAATGCTGCACCGGACTCCCCAGGTGGGTCCGATTGGCACAAAATTTTGCACAACTTATTGACGTGATTATGGGATAACGTGTAGCAAGTTTTGTTGAAATCGGTTCAGATTTAGATATAGTTCCTATATATAGTTTCGTCAGATTTTAAGTAAAATGTGCACGAAAGACCCAAAGTTATATAATTTATACACTGCGTAGCATAACTATAACGGACCCACTTCGTTATTATACCCTTCACCACACTGTGGTACAGGGTATTATGTCTTTGTGCATATGTTTGTAACAGGCAAAAGGAAACGAGATAGACCCATGGTTCCCTTTGAGAATATGCATAGAATCACTTTCTAAACCGATTTATGCATGTCCGTCCGTCAGTCTGTCTGTCTGTCCATGTTAAATTGTAAATAAAGTACAGGTCGCATTTATGATCCGAATTGGATGAAATTTGGCATAGGTCACTTATTCGGCCCAAGGACGAACCCTATTGAAATTGGGAAAAATCGGTTCAGATTTAAATATAGCTCCCATATATATATTTAACCGATTTAATGTAAACGGTGCCTATATATCTTTCGATTTGCACGAAATTTGGTACAGCCTAATCATTTAGGTCTAGAATGATGTCAACCAAGTTTCCTGAAAATCGGTCCAGATTTAGATATACCTCCCATATATAGTTTCGTCCGATTTCATGTAAATGGTGCCCCAAAGTCTTTATTATACCCTTCACCACACTGTGGTACAGGGTATTATGTCTTTGTGCATATGTTTGTAACAGGCAAAAATAATCGAGATAGACCCATGGTTCCTTTTGAGAATATGCATAGAATCACTTTCTAAGTCGATTTATGCATGTCCGTCCGTCCGTCCGTCCGTCTGTCTGTCTGTCCATGTTAAATTGTAAACAAAGTACAGGTCGCATTTATGATCCGAATTGGATGAAATATGGCATAGGTCACTTATTCGGCCCAAGGACGAACCCTATTGAAATTGGGAAAAATCGGTTCAGATTTAGATATAGCTCCCATATATATATTTAACCGATTTAATGTAAACGGTCCCTATATATCTTTCGATTTGGACGAAATTTGGTACAGCCTAATCATTTAGGTCTAGAATGATGTCTGCCTTGTTTTGTGAAAATCGGTCCAGATTTAGATATTGTATGAGATTAAATGGCTCCTCGAGCCAGCGCAAAAAAAACACAAAGAGTTTTCTTAAAAAATTTAAATTGTCTCTGGGGCAACTTTATTTCACAAAAAATTATAATTGAATATAACTTGTAAATATTTCTGCTCCGGATGGGACAATCAATAATTATTAATATTATAACTAATTTAACTTTAATTAATTTAACAAAAATCGAGTTAAGCTCATTTGCAGCAAGGCAGTAAAATAATTTGTTTAATAGATCGGTTTAATGCAGCACGGCAGAATATGTAAACAGAACTAAAACTTTGATTCTAAAAATAAACATAGCACGGCTGCATTGATCATATTTACTGTCTCTGCTTTCGTTATTACCTTTGTTACGACGTCGCTGCATTATGTTTAGTAAATAAACAATGCAGCGACAACAACAACAATAACAAAGAATAACGTAACAGAGACAGTAAACAAAGATCATTGTCCGTGCTACGTTGCCAAATTATGGCCTTGAAACATTAGGCATAGAAAAATAGGAATAGGCAAATTAGAAAATTATAACAAATTAGGGATGTCAGTTGGTGACAGTTTAGGGAAGAAAATAGGGATGCCATATTAGAATGGTAATATAAGGGAAAAATAATAAATATAAATAAATAATAAATTATTAAAGAATAAAATCGAAATAAATAAAATAGTAAATAAATAATCGTTGGTTCTCCAACATTCCCCCGCACAAAGAACAACTGTTCTTGACATAGATTGGGGCAGATTTGAGAGGTGTTTTATTTGGTTTCCGAGCTAACCACGCTGTGCCTCGGCTCACAGCAACTCTTTTCAGGATCATTTGCGTAATTAAAGTTTTGTTGTTGGGGCAGAAGTGCAACTTTAGAGACAGGACGTTTATAGATTTTACCACTGCATTTCAGGGAAACAACTCGGACTTTTCCATCAGCACCGGGATGGACTTCTGTAATTCGGGCTAGTGGCCATTGACCTGGGGGAACTCGTTCGTCAAATATGATGACCAAATCGCCAACTTCAACGTTCTTTTGAGGCTTGAGCCATTTTGGACGGGATTGCAACCGGTTTATATATTCCGTCTTCCAGCGATTCCAAAACTGTTGACTTAGCAACTGAACCACTTTCCAGCGAGAAAGTCTATCTACATTGTGGTCTAGTAGATTTTCGTCTGGGACAGATAAAATTGGTTCTCCAACGAGGAAGTGAGACGGAGTTAGGGCTTCACAGTCTGCTGGGTCAGTTGAAATGGGGCATAGCGGCCTGGAATTGAGACATCCTTCAATTTGAGCCAAGAGTGTAGATAATTCCTCGTAGGTCAAGATTCTGTTATCCATGATCCGTTTTAAATGGTGTTTTGTAGATTTTACACCAGCTTCCCAGAGACCTCCAAAGTTTGGCGAAGCGGGTGGTATAAAATGCCAGTTTGTGCCATTGTTAGCAAGAACGTTCGCTAGATCTTCCGGCAGCGATTCGAGACTTCTCCTTTGTAGAATTTTAAGTTCTTTGTTAGAGCCAACAAAGTTGGTACCGCAGTCAGAATAGAGGTCGGAGCACATGCCTCGCCGTGAGGTAAATCGTCTAAATGCGGCAATGAAAGCGTCAGTAGAAAGACTGGTGACAGCTTCAAGGTGCAGCGCTTTGGTGACCATGCAGACAAAGAGGCAGATGTATCCTTTTGTCGTTACCGAATTTCTAGCAGTCGATTGTTTGATGGTTATTGGGCCAGCGTAATCAACACCACTGTGCTTAAATGGTCTAGTAGGTTGAACTCGAACCGAGGGAAGGTTGCCCATTATTTGTTGAGACGACTTGGCCTTGTACTTGAAACAAGTAATGCAGTTGCGTTGTACTTTTTTAGCCAGATTGCGGGCAGAAAGTATCCAAAACCTTCGAGTAACATACGCCTGCATTTGAATAAGGCCGCCATGTAGGGTCTTCAGAT